TTCTCCAACTTCTTGCATTTAGCGCAGGTGACATAAAAATGCACATTTTAAAGACAAAGAATTGATCTTCCCAGGAAAATATAAAAAATGCTTTCTAAATCATTCTGACGCTAAAAGATAAACAGGAACAGCTGCTAAATGTCCTTCAAGGCAGCCCAAGATTCATTTCAATTACCCTGCACAGCACACCTCAGGTGCAGCACAGCATTTTCAAGTTTTATAGCTATCAAATATAAGCCTAACACAAAGCGTTATTTCCTCCCACTTGTTACTGCCTCAGCAGATCTGACAGGTTTTTTTCTAATTCCTTTTCTCCTTTTCTTTTTTTTTTTTACTGATATCCTACTGCTTTAGAGGAAATGCAATATATGTCTACTTCAGCTCTCATTGACTGAGGTAAAGTAATACTGCCCTATATGTATGTATATATTTCTGCTTTCTTGTCTTTTAAATTTGTTTGGTGGCTGACCTTCGTCTGAGTCAAACTGCTATGCTGTCCACTCTTCAAAGGCTACGAAACCTTGATTAATCACTGTAATATCTTGTCTAGCCTTTGAAATAACACCTTAATTTAAAAAACAAGAACAAATAGTAAATATAGGTCTGCACTTTCATTGGTGCACTAGGTTGTTTGAAGACAGCCACAGAGAGGAGACTGCCGCTAAAACAAGGTACAAATGACATAACATACAAACAAAGTATTGGCAGAAAAGTGAATAACACTTATTTTTTTAAATGGTGGCACTACCCACCTTGTTTTAACACCGTCATTTTTACGATTTTCAATATGTTTATGAACATGTTTTTCAGTGAATTAGGTCACATGGGATTAAACAGGTGAGGATTTCAAGGTTTTCTTTAAGACGCAAATTTTACAAAATGTTTTTGAAAATAAAATAATGATCATGTCTACATGGCATAGCAAGACTGCTCTGGGCTGCAATGAGCTGTTTTGGCATGGTGGAGAAGCACTCATTTGGGTCTCCATTTCCAAACCACCAGTAAATTTCGTCCCTGAGAAGCACTGTGCTCACTAGGAGACCAGACGGGATAACCTCACCACAGAAATAGGTACTTAAATACTCTCGATTCTGTCAACATATGTACTTCAGCAGAGCGATGCCCAGGCCAACTGCCTTTATTACGCTGTGCCACTAACCTGCAAAATCTGTCTCCTCTTCTGTGAAGCTAGCGTGCACCAGAAGAACTCCTGTGCCTTAGTTAAGAGTTAACTAACTGTGCTGGGAGGTGGTAAGTAGCAGTTTCCCAAGTAGCTCTCAGCTGTACCTGACTGCACCCCGGTGTCCATGGAATTTCAGGACAAAGCCAAGCGTGTCATCTTGCCCCACTTTCAATGGTTTCAACCCTTCCTTAACCATTTACACTAGTGTACATAGGTTTATCCTGTAATGTGGTGTAGATCGTCGAACATTGCATTACCAGGTGTCAGCTGGATGCCATAGCTAACAGCTAAGGGACTGTAAGGGCTAATACACAAGTGATCCATAAAAAGCAGCTTCCTAAATCACTTTGCAACTCAAGCCTTCACTCTAAATCCCCTGTTTTCTCCATTCACAGTATGAATAGCACAGTCTCAGGGGCTGAATTCCAGTGTGCTACCTTCAGCAAGTGCTTTAAGTCACACTCAAGCCCCGAGTTATCCCATATTGCAGTGTTCAGCATCTGCATGTTCCGATTACTAAAATTTAGTCCCAAGCTCACAGCCACACTGCCAGGACCAGGCAGATATACCCGCTGTAACACAAATCGGCAAGCACAGCAAAAGAGGCCAAACTCTTGCCCATTTTCACTATTGTTTTAAATGAACAAAATTAATCATTTTGTTTTCCTGTGATTTCAAAAAGCCAGTAGCTACAGCCAGCTGGTGGGCAGGACAAAAGAGATGGAATGAGAAATTTATGGTAAAAAAAGTGTAGAGATATGCATTGTTCTCTGCAGGCTTCATGCAGGATGTCAAGTATTTGTGATCACATCATATTTTCTGATACTTTTTTTAAGGGTCTGATTACTTGTTGGTTTAATTCAGAGTGTATCGACTTTTGGATTAATTCCTTTCTATATGGAGATTGTTAGTGAAACCTTCAGTTGTCTGTGTTCTGCTCTGCTTTAGTCTCAGTCACAAACTTATTTCATGCCGTTTCTTTCCAGAGGGCATCAAATACAGATAAAATTCCTTCATATATGTCATGCATGGACCTAAATTCTCATCCAGATTCACGGAGATGTTTCATGAAGCATCTTTATGTATGTCCACATGAAGAGACATGGAAAGGACAAGCCAGTTCTCTTTCTCAGCTTGGGTGTGGTTTTCTTTTAAATTGGGTGGGAGGGTGTTGGGGGTTTTTTTGTTTTCAGTCTAAAGGCTGAAAGTGGAGGCCACAAGTGTCCCTTATGTGAAATAACAGCCATTCTGTTCTAATATCTGTGGGGAACAAAAAATTGTTTTGCCAGGATTAGGAAATAATTTTTATAATACTGATGTTTTCACTCTAAATTAATTTTAAACTCTTGCTGTGTGGTTGGTTTTAGGATGCTTAAAGAGTTCTGCTTGGGGTTGGTGGGGGGTGGTTTTGTTGTTGTTTTCCATTTCCCTGATTTGCAAAGACAAATTGCTGTTTTTGAAATCAGAAAGGTACGAATGTTGTCAATATGCTACGTAAGTGATCTAATAACCATGTTGGAGTTCGGTGGCTCTGCATTGCCAGGGCATAGAAAATCATGCCCATAGGTATTACTGGCATGATTGCCATAGTTCCTCTGACATGACACACAACATTGCTCTCACGTACACTTGGTAAAACCAAGTCATACTAGGTGAAGAATTATGAAGAATTCCTTACTTGCTGCCCATCAGGATACAGCTTGATTTTTAGAGCCATGGAGTACTTACGGAGGAAATTAAACAGCTGTCCTCCCTGCCCAGTCTCTCAGAGGGCCCTTCTATTGTGGGGTTGCTGAGGATCAAACAACAGGTGCCAATCACCACCACAACAGTGCACCAACAGCAATATCACTAACCAAGACTCCCTGATTCCCATCCATAAGCTGATTCATCGACCGGAGAGCCAAGGAGTGATCAGCAAGACTCACTCACCCTTTAACAGTCCCGTATGGCCAGTGCGAAAGTCTAATGGAGAGTGGAGACTAACAGTAGACTATCATGGCCTGAATGAAGTCACGCTGCTGCTGAGTGCTGCCGTGCCAGACATGCTAGAACTTCAATACGAATTGGGGTCAAAGGCAGCCAAGTGCTATGCCACAGTTGATATCGCTAATGCGTTTTTCTCAGTCCCTTTGGCAGCTGAGTGCAGGCCACAGTTTGCTTTCACTTGGAGGGGCGTCCAGTACACCTGGAATTGACTGCCCCAGGGGGAGGCAGTCACACACAGCCCTACCATTTGCCATGGACTGATCCAGACTGCACTGGAACAGGGTGAGGCTCTGGAACACCTGCAATACCTTGATGACATCATCATGTGGGGCAACACAGCAGAAGAATTTTTTGAGAAAGGGAAGATAATAGTCCAAATCCTTCTCAAAGCTGGTTTTGCCTTCAGAACAAAGGTCAAGGGACCTGCACGGGAGATCCAG